AACTTTGAAGGTATAATTCTCCTAATTAATATACCTGGGCTTACATTTTGGGTCCAATGATGCTTGGTGAGGGTGCCAAAACAATTCATTAAGGGAACAAAGAGTCTTTTCAACAAATGGTGCTGGGACAACTGGATATCCATACAACATAGCATGAAGCTGGATGTCTGCCTCACACTGTATTTGAAAATTACCCAAAATGGATCAAAGAACTAAATGTAAGAGCTACAATCTTAAAACTCTTAGAGGAAAATAGTGGTAAATTTTTAGTGATCTTGGATTTGATAGTGGTTCCTTAAATTTCACATCCAAAGCATAATCAATGAAAGAAAAAAATAGACAAGTTGAGACTTCATAAAAATGAAATTGTTTTGTACTTGAGAGGATACCATAAAGAAGTGAAAAGACAACCTATTTAATGGGAGAGAATATTTGAAAATTCTATATCTGAAAAGGGGCTGACATCTTTAATATACAAAGAACTCTCAGAGTCCAATAATGGTAAATAGCACAAGACATAGTCAAGGATTCTGAACTGACATTTCTCCTAATAAAACATAAATGGCCAATATGCACATGCAAAGATAATACCCACTAATCATCCAGGAAATGAAAATGAAAACTACAATGAAATACTACCTCACATCAACCAGGATGTCTATAATATTAAAAACGAAACAAAACACTAAATGGTGGATAGGATGAGAAATTGGAAACCTCATACATTGCAAGTGAGATTGTAAAGTGGTACAGCCACTTAGGGAAAATAGGCAGTTCCTCTAAAGCTTAAACATAATGTTACAATATGATGGAGCAGTTCCTATCCCAGGCATATATCTAAAAGAAATGAAAACATGTCCACATAAAAACTTGTATGACAGTATTTCATAGCATTATTCACAATGACCAAAGAGTGAAAAAAACCCACATGTCCACCAACTGATAGGAATATTATTCACTGATTAAAAAGAATAAAATACTAGGGTATCTGGCTGGCTCAGTCAGAAGAACATGCAACTCTTGATCTCAGGGTTGTGAGTTTGAACCCCACATTGGGTGTAGATTACTTAAATTTAAAAAATAAAATACTGATAAATGCTACAATAGATTAACCTTGAAAAGTTTATGCTATGTGAAAGAAATCAGTCACAAAAGACCATATATTTTTATTTTTATTTTATAAATTTTGCCTTTAAAAAAAAAGATTTTATTTATTTATTTGACAAAGAGAAATCACATAGGCAGAGAGGCAGGCAGAGAGAGAGTGGGAAGCAAGCTCCCCGCTGAGCAGAGAGCTTGATGCAGGGCTTGATCCCAGGACCCTGGGATCATGACCTGAGCCGAAGGCTGAGGCTTTAACCCACTGAGCCACCCAGGCACCCCCATATAGTATTTTTTTTAATTTAAATTTTTTAAAGATTTTATTTATTTATTTGACAGACAGAGATTACAAGTAGGCAGAGAGGCAGGCAGAGAGAGAGGAGGAAGCAGGCTCCCCGCTGAGCAGAGAGCCCGGCATGGGGCTCGATCCTAGGACTCCGAGATCATGACCTGAGCCGAAGGCAGAGGCTTCAACCCACTGAGCCACCCAGGCGCCCCCCTCCCATATAGTATTTTTAAAAACTTATATGAAATTGTCAGAACAGGCAAATCTAGAGAGACAATAGATTAGTAACTGCTTCAGGTTAGGGATACAATGGGGAGTTGGGGGTGGTGAAATTGTTTTAAAACTGATCGTGGTAATGGTTTCACAACTCTGTGAATATGGTAACCACTAATGTACACTTTAAATGGGTGAATTGTATGTGAATTATGTTTCAGTAAAGCTGTTATCACCCCCACTCAGACAAAAACCAATCCATCTGGGCTTGGTGCTCTTTCCTAATTTTAAGTTCCTGTATAACTTTCTATGTTGGTTTGCTCTATTTCCAGGTTTTTTGTTTTAGCTTGATATATATTATCGTTTCGTTTTTCAGGGTATAAACGTTTAAGAATATGAATTTTCCTCTGATCACTGTTAAAAAAATATCCCATACTATTTATAATAGTCAAGAAAAGGGAAGTAACCTATTGTCCATAAACTAATGAATGGATAAATTGTGACACCCATACAACGGAATATTACTCAGTAAGAAAAATGAAGTACAGGTACACGCTACAATATGGGCAAACCTTTAAAACGTTACAGAAGTCAAAGAAGCCAGACACAAAGACCACATATTGTAATATTTTGTTCACATGAAATGTTGAGAATAGGTAAATTCCTAGAGACAAAAAGTAAATTAGTTGTTGCCTTGGGCTTGCGGTGAGGTGGGTACTGGGATCCCTTTTGTGATTATGAAAATGTACTAAAATTGTGGTGATCGATACACAGTTCTGACTATACTAAAAAGGATTTTAAGCGGGTTAATGATGTGCTATAATGCCATCTCAAACAAGACTCAAGATCTAAAAAGAGAACTGAATGGGCTAGGAGTTCATTTTATGGACTAGTAGGGTTATCTTTATAAACCTGCATAGTGCTGCGATGGAGCTGAACCAACGAGAAAGACTTGTAGAAAAGCACTTGATGAGCCTCCTTGGCCGGGAACCCAGAGGCACACCTTGCCCACCAGGTCTGCCTCTCTTCCAGCTCTGTGCCCTGGACTCCGCTCGGCTCTCCTGCCCGGTCAGTGTGGACAGCCTGCACTGGGCGCAACCAGGTCCAACCGCCACCTCGAACGTCTGGAGGACGCGGACGCCAACCGCCACCAGACCCAGATGCTCCTGGCGCCCCGCCCCTTACGCTGACCTGGTGGCGGAAAGCGGAAGCGGAAGTGCTCTTCGGCTAACACCTCACTTCCCGCTCCACCCTGCGTGGGAGGTGAGTTTTCCATTTTGTTGGTCTTTCGCAGGGCGCTCAGACTCGGGGGTTTGGAACTTCTTGGGGTGGTTGGGAGTCGCGGCTCCTCCTCCCCACCGGCACACAGCGCCGGAGGGACTGAGGCCGCCCGGGTCCCTCTGAGCGCCTCTGTCGGCTCCACCCGCGCGGGTTGGGGGCGGGGTCGTGGCTCAGGGTCCCCGGAGGAGGCAGGGCCTTTTCTCCCTCCGGTGTGCTCCTCTTCAAAAGCTACCAGACCGCTTTGCCCCTTCTCCAGAGGAGAAACGTGTACGCAGTGGTGGAAAACGGCCGCAGTGCCCTCTTTTCACTTACCTGGGGATCGCGGGAGGTTCTGGTGAGCACTGGACGGAAATGCTCTGGCTGTGGGCACCCATTATTGACGTTTGTCGAATTATTCAGGTGTTCCCTTGTCGCACATTGACCATTTGTTAGTATTTTGCATGTGTAGTGTACCTCTTTCTACATCTCTCTCCATGTGTATAGTTAAATGTTTATGATAAGCTCTTTGAAAATAGGATTAAAATAATTTGCAGGCATGATATTCGACCTTTAGTACTTGGTTAATTGCCTCACATGTAAGGACAAAGGAGTTATGTAATAACTCCTACAAATTAATACCCAAGGTGAAAAATGAGCAAGGGGTTTGGATAGGCTCTTCAATAAAAGAAAAAAAATGCAAGTAGACAACAAATACATGAAAAGATACTTCAGATCACTAGCAACCAGAGATTTGCAAATAAAAACCACGGTGTAATACTACTGCACACACTGAATATCTAAATAAAAGTAAAGCTAAAAAGAGTGACAGTGCCAAGTGTTAATGTATCAAGTGAGATGTGCATAACTGCTAGGGGAAACACATTTTTAAAGTGTATCAACTAACTTACACACCAGTACACACACACGTCTGCCAATCCAACATAAACACTATTTGTAACATCATTATTTGAAATATCCCTAAATTGGAAATAATCCAAAGTTGATCAAAGGATGAGTGGATGAATTGTAGCATATATTTTTTGTGGGATACTCTTTAGTAAAAGGGAGGAGCACAGATGCAACAACTTGGATGAACGTCACAAAACATAATGTTGAACGAAAGAAGCCAGACATAAAAGAATGCATGCTGTTTGATATTCTGTCTTTAAAATTCAAAAACGGGCAGAACACTCTAGAGTGTTAAATGTCAGGATAGTGGATGCAGTTGGGAGGCATGGAATGAGTGACTGGGGAGAGACCAGGAATATGTCTGAGATGCTGGATTTGGATGTGTTCTACTTCTCAACCTGAATGATGGTTACATGGGGCTGTTCATTTCTTAATACCTCATTGAGGTTTTTATTCATGATTGCCTCCCTTAGTTGTATGTATGCTGTAGTTTATTTAATAAAAGAAGTTTGAGAAGTGGAACTAAGCATGCTACTTCATAAGGTTGAGCAAGAAATAAAGAAGTACAAGAAAATGTACTGAAAGGGTGAATAAAAATAAAACTAATGATGGAAAAAAGTAGAACTGATCAGTAATAAGAAAAGGTGAAACAATGCACGATATATTTATATACTAGTCTTTGTGGTTAACTGTGAGATAATATGGAAAGCTTTTAGTTTCAACATTAAAAAAACAACAACAACAACCCAGTGACATGATTCAGATGCTGTTGGAGTGGCTAACATGAGAAATGTTATTTTGAGTTTTTCTAAAATTATAATATTTCAAGTTTGGGTGTCTTTGGGTCAAAATTTGGGCACTACTTTTGAAGTAAGTGAGATTATCAATTATCACAGGCTTCTGAAGTGATTATTTCCCAGTTCCGTCTTTATTCTACCTCTAACTAGCCTTGTCACTGTATCAGGAGTATATTTGTATATGTGCAGTACTCCTTATACTTTAATGGGATTGATTCTTTATACTGCTTATCACCAACTGATGATTATCTGTTTATTACCTGCATTACCAGATTGAACTGTGAGATCCCTAAAAACTGTTCCCTCCTCATTGCCTAGTACCTGGCCTGGCAGAAGGAAGACCCTTACTAAGTATTTGCTAACTGAATGAAGGAATAAGAGACCGAAGGTGGCAAAGTTTCCAAATCCAACAAAGCTCTTGCAGGGAGGGGGGACTTCTCATTTCATAAAACCTTTTGTATTTCTCATCTCCATTATGCCTAGCAGAGGATGTGGACTGAATTCTGGTCATGTCAGGAATAACAACCACCACAGGAGATAAGGTTCTTGCCATTCCAGTATGTGTCTGCCTGGCTTTTCTGATGGGTGACTTGAGACAGTTATTAATACAGTGTGAACCTCCATTTTCTCAACTATTAAATGACAGTTATTAATACCCAGTTTGGAGGGTTATTAGGGCAGTTAAAGGAGTTTATGTATGTAGAACAGTATATACTGTAGAACAGTCCTCAGTAAATAGAGGTTGGCATTAATATTTGCATGGTAGGATATTTGGGTTTTTAATGGCTGTCACGTGTTTCATCTGCACAGAGATGGCTAATGAGTGGTGTTTGATGATTGAGGGAAAATGTCTGTTGCTTAATGATGGATATTGTGAACCAGTTACCCAGACACTCCAGTATTCAAAGAGAAATTGAGATCAAGTTCTTAATTTAAACTCAGAAGCTTCTCTGAAGTGGTCTTCTGAGTGAGATATGGAATATTCTGGAAACTCTATCAGATCACAGGATGGAAGCCCTTGATGTGAATCAGGTGTATGGTGAGTCCTTATTAATGCTTCTTTTTATGTAGTTCCTTCACAAGTGGCAGATCCAGTGCTCAGTGCTCAGAGCCTGAGTGATGGTGCAGTGGGCCATAGAAGAACAATGGAAATGAGCAGAGCATGTATAAGTCAGGTTCCTGGGATTTGGGAGGCAAGAAGGTGTGTGTGCTGTTTGAGGGAATAACATGTTCATGAATTCTGTTGTGTCAGACAGCTCTGTCTCTCTCTACTGTAATTTGTGTAACTCCAAGGTGGAATATTTAACCTGTTTCTTATGGGTAGCAAGATCCAGAAAACCATTTTTTGCTCCAGGTAACTCAGCACTTTGCCAGTTTATGGAATTAGTGTGTTTGTGGTATGTTCTGTGCATGGTGTGGAATAGCTTATAAGCATGTTATTACTGGAATTGGATTGGCTTCCAAGTTCATGGCATTCTTCTCTCTGAGGTTATCTTTCTCAGAACCCTTTCTGTCTTCCTGAGGGGAAGATTGAGGAGGCAAAGATGGTGGCTGGGTTACTGATGGATTCTTCTCAGGTAAGTGGAAAGTTGACCTTTCTTCAGAATGTCAGCCTTATTTATTAGGTAGCCGTATCTCCTTGTAATGTCCCCAGGCTTCTTTCTTATAGCAATTAATGACCCTGCTTAATGAATGAGTCTCTGGTCAGTTTCTCCAGGACTCATGCCATCTCAGAATATATAGGGATTACACTGGATATGATTCTTTTATCCCACTATTCACTAATTCTTTCTGATCCTCAGTCAGGCTTGTTGGCCTGTTGTTTTGCTGAGTGTTATGATAGATACTGAGGAATGATATGAAGGTATCTAATCTCATATAAAGCGTGTGTTATTGTGGAAATAATTCATCTGTTAGAAGATTTTACAGAGTGTTGCACTGTGTTCAGTGCTAAGTGTAGCTTATAAATAGAGGAGGAATAAAGCAAAAAGAGCCCATAGTCAAGTGGTGGTAACAGAAGTTTAGTCACATGTCAGTGATGCTGATAAGTCCATGTGACTGGCTGTGATCACCAGGCAGTATCTGTAGGTAGAGAAGAGAAGATGTCTAGTCCCAGGAGTACTGTAGGTTTCTGGTCTACCTTCCTCAGTCTTTCATACATCTTCCTGAGAACCTCAAAGAAGACAGTGGTTAGCTGAAGCCAGTATGTATTTGATGGTTTAGCACTTAGTGACCTTCGAGGATGTGGCTGTGACCTTTACCCAGGAGGAGTGGACTTTGTTGGATCAAACACAGAGAGATCTCTACAGAGATGTGATGTTGGAGAACTACCAGAATCTCATTATACTAGGTAAGGTTGGCATCATTTCTTCCCTGAGCCCTTTATGAAATGAATGTTTCTTAATATCGTTGCTGTCAGATGGGAATACTGTGGTAAACAAGACAGATGTAATCCCTGGCCTCAGGGGCCTTACTATCTAGAGGATTCCCTGTGAAAATGAAGATCTGTCTAAATAAATTACTTTATTCCTTTTAGGGACTGAAAACCTTAGGACTTTAAGTGTGTGTAGAGGCCGGACACGATTTTCAAGTCTTAGAGCTCTCTCGTCATTTGAGGGCACAGAAAGAATGTACTCACATTTTTATTCCTTTTAGAATAGTTTTATTGCATTGATTTAAAATTTTGTGTGATTATTTGGCGTTTGTAAAGTGAGACTTCACCGTCTACAGAAATCCTGAAGCTTAAGTGTTGGTTCCTATCCAAAGAGCCATGTTTCATGTCTTGCGAGGTCCTTACATATTCTTCCTGTAAGCAGGATACGAATCATGCAAACCTGATCTCAACTCTCTAATGGGAGGAGCAGAAGAGCTGAGGACAGGAGGGAGAAGAATTCTGCAGGGTAAGTTCATGAGGTATGGTTTTGTGACAAGTGATGTGACTAGCCTGGGAAAGGTGCAGTATGTTTGGAAATGCCACTTGGCAAACTTTCAGAGGTAAACTCGAGAAGGAAGTCATTCGGTTTCTGAGTTTGCTTAGGAAACTTCATCTCCCTTTACCTTCAAATTTCCAGTGATCTCAGCCTTTTTCTGTTCTCCCAGAAAGGTCTATCTGACTCAGTTGAAAATGTCATTACTTACAGTAGCTCATTTTGCAGTACTTTCTCTCTTGCTTTTCTGATTCTATCAGTGTTTTTTGTTCACTGTCCGCCTTAGTTTTCCAGAGTATTAAGCTTTGGAAATTGCCTACAATTTCAACACCATAGCCTTACCATTTCCAGACTCCTAACACAGCCGTACTCTGTATAATCCAACTTCCCTTTTGTTTCAACCTTTTTATCTTGTTTCATGCATATTTAAACATATGTATATGCCATTTTTTAAGATAATATACACAAAAAATAACCATTTTAATAAATATGATTTATTGGTATTGAGTACATACACAGTGTTGTGCAACCATCAGCTCTTTTTAGTTCCAAAATATTTTCATCACTTGAAAAGGAAACCCTGTAACCATTAAACAGTCAGTCTCCCTTCAGCTCTACCCCCACTCCCTACAGCTAGTAATCTACTTTCTAATTTATAGGTTTGTCTGTTCTGTGCATATCAAATAGAATCATACAGAATTCAGTTTCAGGACTATTATTACCTAGAAATAGAATTGCGGGGCATATGGTCATTTTATGTTTAACTTGTTAAGGATTACGAAACTGTTTAACACAGAAGCTGTACCATCTTATATTCCCTCTAGCAGTGTAGAAGTTACTTCACATCCCTGCCATCACTTCTTCCTTCCTTCCTTCCTTACTCCCTCCCTCCCTCCCTCCCTCCTCCTTCTTCTTTTTTTTTTAATAGTAACCATCCTAGCAGGTATGAAGTGGTATCTTATGGTAGTTTTGATTTGCATTTCCCTAAAACAAATGATGTCGGACATCTTTTTGTGTGCTTGTTGACCATTTTCTGTGTCTTTTGGAGAAATGCCAATTCAAGTTCTTTGCCCATTTTTTACTTTGAGTTGTTTGTTTTGTTGTTGTTAAAGCATAGGAGTTCTTTCTGTACTCTAATAGTGGACCTATATCACATGGATGATATGCAGATATTTTCTCCCATTTTGGGGGTTATCGTTTTGCTTTTTTGATAGTGTTTTTTGATGTACGTTTTTAATTGCAGTGGGGTTCAATTTATCTTTTGTTCTCTTTGGTGCTTTTGTTGTCATATCTAAGAACAGAAATATTGGACACTATCAAATCTGAGGTTCTGAAGATTTACCCCCTTGTTTTCTTCTAAGGGTTTTATACATTTAACCTTTACATTAGGGTTTTGGCCCATTTTGAGTGAATTGGTATATATGGTGTGAAGTAGGGGTCCAGTTTGATTCTTCTGCATAGAAATATCCAGTTATCCTAGCACTGTGTATTGAAGAGACTGTTCTTTCCCCCATTGAATGGTCGTGGCACACTTGTTGAGAATATATTTATTCTAAATGTATGGGTTTTTCTTATGGATTCTTTGTTCTGTTCGTGTATATGTCTATCCTTTTTCCTGTAAGACACGTTTCTGGTTTTTTGTTTTTTGGTTTTTTTGTTTGTTTTTTGGCCATTTTATTTATTTATTTTTAACTAATTATTTTTATTAACGTATAATGTATTATTTGCCCCAGGAGTACAGGTCTGTGAATCGTCAGGCTTACACATTTCACAGGACTCACCATATCACATATCCTTCCCAATGTCCATAACCCAACCACCCTCTCCATACCTCCCCACCCTCCACTCACCCTCAGTTTGTTTTGTGAGATTAAGAGTCCTTCCCAATCCCATCTTGTTTCATTTTTTCCTTCCCTACCCCCCAAACTCCCCACCCTGCCTCTCAAATTCCTCATATCAGGGAGTTCATATGATAATTATGTTTCTGTGATTGACTTATTTCACTCAGCATAATACCATCTGGTTATTTCATTTCTTTTGATGGCTGCATAGTATTCCTGTGTGTGTGTGTGTGTGTGTGTGTGTGTGTGTGTATCACATCTTTATCCATTCATCTGTTGATGGACATCTAGGTTTTTTCCATAGTTTGGCTATTGTGGACATTGCTGCTATAAACATCTGGTGCACGTGCCCCTTTGGATCACATTTGTACCTTTAGGATAAATACCCAGTAGTGCAATTGTTGGGTTGTAGGGTAGCTCTGTGTTCAACTTTTTGAGGAACCTCCAAGCTGTTTTCCAGAGTGATTGCACCCTGGAACCAGAGTGGTTCCCCTTTCTCTGCATCCACACCAACATTTGTCGTTTCCTGACTTGTTAATTTTAGCCATTCTGACTGGTGTGAGGTGGTATCTCATTGTGGTTTTGATTTGTATTTCCCTGATGCCAAGTGACGTTGAGCACTTTTCCAACACATTTCTGATAATGTATTTCTCAGCTCCAGAATTTTATTTGGTTCTTTTTTGTAATTTCTGTCTCTTACTTGACAGTCTCTTACTTGAGTCCTAATTCTTCTAGTTTCCTTAGTTCTTTGTCCATGGTTTCTGTTAGCTCTTTGGTGTGTTGAAACAAATTGATTTAAAGTTATTAGTCCAATGCCTGGACTTCCAGGAACAATTTGTATTAATTTTTTAATTGTTCCTTTGCATACCTCATATATTTTAGTTGGAAGTATAAATTTTAGACATCATAATGTGGCAATTGAAAATATGATTCAGCCCCTCCCTGGGTTTGTTGTTGCTGCTTGTTGTGTATTGTTGGTGTTTGTTTTGTGGCTTTTGTAAATTATTTTTGTATGTTCTGCATTCTTTTTAGTGCGGTCCCTGAAATCCATGTTCTGTTAGTTTAGTGGTCATCTTAGAGTGACAGAAATTCCTTAAATAACTGGAACCAAGAAAAGAAAACTAAAAATATTCTTTTAGTTTTTGCTTATTGGCTATGTGTTGGGCCACTCCTTCAGTGTTTAGCTAGGCCATGTACAACTCTTTCTTAGCTTTCCATTCCTGGTGGAGTGGATGCTGAAGGTCAGTGAGAGGTGAAAGCTCTGGGTCCTCTCCAGCCTCCCAGCCCCATGTGTGCATGTGAACTTCTTGATTCACTGGTTAACACCTGAGCTTTTCAAAGCCCTATTTATGCACTTACCAACATTTCCAGTCTGTTCCTTCTAAGGCTTTTCAGGTTTTTATTTGTCTCAAATGCTTTCCTTGTCCTTGGGCTGCTGTAGGCAATACTTTGCCTTCAGATACTTTAATCAGTAGTTGTCTGATGCTGCCTTGCTCCTGGGAACTCTTTGAGTTCGATGATATAAAGGCACACCCTTGCAGCCATGATACTTGAAGCTGCCAGACAGATGGAAACAAAATGGCAGTTCTCCTAGAGCAAAGTCCATAGTTCTCCTTTCAGCAATTGTAACTTTCTCAGGGTTGCATCCTGTTGTCTACATGACTGCAGCTGATCTGAGGAGTGGGGATGGTAGGTGGATAATTAAAATGCTTCAGCACTCTCTTGGTGAACTGTAGCTGCAACTTTTTTCCATAAGTGTTCGCTTGGCAGTTGTAAGTTTTTGACTAGATTCCCAAGTTCTGTAATAGTTGATTTTGATAGTTTTTGTAAGCTTTTTATTTGTTTTCTGGTGGGAAGGAGTCCTGGAGTTCCCTACTCTACCATATTTTGTGGTGTCATTCTCTGTGCTGTATGCTTTTAAACAACTTTATCCCAGGATTTGTCTCTGAAACAAAATTTTCCACTTTTTTTCAGAATTGGATTTGCAGCTCAAAACTAAAGGTTTCACAGCCCTTCAGGATATTTCTTTGGAAAAAACATCAAATGGAATACAACTGGTAAGATCTCCAAAAGTAATTCCTTTCTTCCACACCTGGACCAGAAGTACAGAATTGATGCGGGTGATATGAAATAAATGTCATTTACCCAAAGAAAGCAGAATCTGTGAAGAGATTTCTTTGAATGTCAAGAATTTGGGGAGCACTGTAAACCTACTTCAATCCTGTTTCTCCTCAGAGATCCACATAAATATAGCTCAAATGTCCAGGTTTTAAATGATTTAGTATGAGTAATTACCAGAAGATACTCTGTGAAAGTAGGGTGTAGCCTCGGAGTCTGTTTATTCGACTTAAAATAACTCAAAAACAGGGCAGGAACTCTGTACACTGAAATGGAAAAAAACACTTCAATTATGATGATGTTTCCAATGCATAAAAGTTGTGATGGGGGAGAAATTCTGTTATAGTGTGAATAAATCTTTAGTTATCATTTAAACCTTAATCAACAGGAGAGAAGCAATGCTGGAGTGAAACGATATGGCTCTAACTTGTGTGGAAGAGCGTTTAGTGGACGCTCATTTATGACTCCCAGTAGACAGAAAACTTCTAAGGGTAATCAGAATGGAAAAGCCTTTAAAAAGAACTTTATTTGTACTCTGCTCACGGAAATCCCCATTGGGGAGAAAACTTCGGAGAGTGTCCAGCATGATAAAGCCTTTGGTCAGCCTTCAGATCTTACTGGGCACAAGAAAACTCAGACACGAGGGAACGTGTGTGAATGCAAAGAGTGTCAGAGAACTTCTGTTAATCAGTCATCCCTTAAGGCACACAGGAGACACCACACTGGAGAAAAACCATATGAATGTAAAGAATGTGGGAAGGTCTTCACTCATTCCTCGTACCCTACAGATCATAGAAGAATTCACAGTGGAAAAAAGCCCTATGTGTGCGTGGAATGTGGGAAAGCCTTTACTCGATCCACAGGACTTATTTTACACATGCGAATTCACACTGGAGAAAAACCATATGAATGTAAGGAATGTGGAAAAGCTTTTATTCACTCTTCATACCTTACAAAACACGTAAGAATTCACAGTGGAGAAAAGCCATATTTATGTAAGGAGTGTGGGAAAACTTTCACTCGCTCCTCAGGACTTGTCTTACATGTGCGAACACACACTGGAGAGAAACCCTATATATGTAAAGAATGTGGGAAAGCCTTTAATAATTCTTCAATGCTCAGTCAGCATGTCAGGACACACACTGGCGAGAAGCCATACGAATGCAAGCAATGTGGGAAAGCTTTCACTCAGTCTTCAGGCCTTACCACACACTTAAGAACTCACACTGGAGAGAAGGCCTTTGCATGTAAAGAATGTGGGAAAGGTTTTGCTCGTTCTACGAATCTTAATATGCACATGCGAACGCACACTGGCGAAAAACCGTACAAATGTAAAGAATGTGGGAAAGCCTTTAGGTACTCCACATGCCTTAATATTCACATGCGAACTCACACTGGAGAGAAACCATATAAATGTAAGGACTGTGGGAAAACCTTCACTCAATCTTCGGCACTTGCTAAACATTTAAGAACTAAGGCATGTGGAAAAACCTGTAAATGTTCTTCAGACCTTAGTATTCACATCTAAACTCATCTGGATAAAAAGTACCTTATGAAAGTAAAGAATGTGTGAGAAAGCTTTACTCATTTTTCATCCTTACATGATAGGAACATCCTGGGGCAGAATTTGCATGCATATAAGGTATATGGGAGAGCAGTAATTGTTCATACTTTACAGAATGTAAAGTGTAAGAACTCACACCAGTTATAAGGTATGTGGGAGAGCCTTTTTGTTGTTGCTCTGACATTAATTTTACATATCTAAAATTACCGTAAAAGTCAGGGGTGCTTGGCTGGCTCAGTTGGTAGAACAGACGACTCTTGATCTCAGGGTTGTGAGTTTGAGCTCCCTGTTGTGCATAGAGATTACTTATAAATAAATAAGAAATGACTGTAAAAGTGATGTGAAGGTAAGAATGAAGTATAGCCTTAAAATATGACAGTTGGGGGCGCCTGGGTGGCTCAGTGGGTAAAGCCTCTGCCTTTGGCTTGGGTCGTGATCTCAGGGTCCTGGGATTGGGCCCTGAGTCGGGCTCTCTGCTCAGCAGGGAGCCTGCTTCCCCCTCTCTCTCTGTCTCCCTCTCTGCTTACTTGTGATCTCTCTGTCAAATAAATAAATAAATAAAATCTTAATGAAAAAAAAATGACAACGGGCTTTGAGAGCACATGATAATTCATACTAGTAGGGATAAATCATCTGTAAGGAATGTGGTAAAACCTTAGTGTCAAAGCCTTAATAGCCATATGAGACTTCATACTGGTATAAAACCCTACAAATGTAAAGGACCCAGGAACTACCGTTGTTTCTTGTATCTTAAGAACTCAACATTCAAAAAAAAATTGGAGAGATTTCTATACATGCAAGAAATATGGGAAAGCTTCGGGAAAGCTTTTAGAAATTCTTGATTGCTTCATGTGCAGGGAGACTCGTGAATGTAAGAAATGTTGAAGATTGTTCAGGTGTTAATGAGTAAGTCACAACACACAGTGAAGAGAAACCTTATGATGGTAAGATATGTGGGAAAACAGCCCCATATGTTGACATTCTTTGGTAATCTCACAGAGGCAGAAAATGTTATGACTATTAGAAATAATGGGTATACCTGTGTGTGTGTGTGTGTGTGTGTGTGTGTTTACTTTTTGGCTTTGACCTTCAGTAAAAATAATCCACACTGGAGAGAAATAGTGGTTGTAGGGTACATGGGAAATGGTTTATCCATCTTAAACATTTTACTTTACGTGTGAAAACCCACCCTGCAAAGAAGCTGAATGAGTGTAAAAATGTGGGAATGATTTTTGGTAAATACACATCCATTAAGAGACTCACAGAATACTCACTGGAGGAATGAAGTATGAATGAGAGGAATTTGGGGAAGCCTTCAGGTACTGCTCTTCCTTAGTGTACACAAGACAATTCTTCCTGGAGGTCAGATTGAAATAGACGACATAAATGCAGTCACCTTTCTGTGTGTCTCGTTCTCAAGGAAAGCAGCTGGCACCTTTATTTTTGTGGTGGTTTTGTATTACAAAGTTTTAGTTGCTTTTAAAGATACTCTTAAGTAATTTCTGCAATGGTATACTCATTTGATATAATGGTGTTTTCATTATGGTTCATATCTAAAGACTTTCCTGTATATATGTCTTCATTGAATTATATGAAATATTTGGAAATTTATTTGGCAATGTAAGAGCGTTTTTAAAAAAGATTTTATTTATTTGACAGAGGGAGAGCATAGGCAGGGGAAGCAGCAGGGAGAGGGAGAAGCAGGGTCCCCACTGAGCGGGGAACCCGATGCAGGGCTCAATCCCATGACATGACCTGAGCCGAAGGCAGACACTTAACCGACTGAGCCACCCAGGCGCCCCTGTAAGAGCATTTAAAAAAAAAAAAAAATATATATATATATATATATATATATATATTTTATTTTTAAGATTTATTTATTTATTTGACAGAGAGAGATCACAAGTAGGCAGAGAGGCAGGCAGAGAGAGAGGAAGGGAAGCAGGCTCCCTGCTGAGCAGAGAGCCTGATGCGGGGCTCGATCCCAGGATCCTGGGATCATGACCTGAGCCGAAGGCAGAGGCTTAACCCACTGAGCCACCCAGGCGCCCCCCCCCCCCCCCCAAAAATATATTTTTTTGAGAGAGAGTGTGCACATCAGCTGGGGCAGGGACAGAGGGAGAGAATCTTTGAAGCAGACTCCCTGCTGAGTACAGAGTCCTATGCAGAGCTGAATCTCATGACCCATGAGATCTTGACCTGAGCTGAAAACAAGAGTTGGACACTCAACTGACTGAGCCACCCAGGTGCCCTCGCAATGTAAGAGCATTTTACAATGTTTTTAGATACTGCTTTCTAGTGTATTTGCAAGTGGGTCATAAAATGAAGCTCTTTGTAGTATTTGATTATAGGAAAATTCTGGCTTTGTATGGAGTATTTAGTCATCTCAATATTCCTGTCCCTTATAAATAGAATCCAGGTTATCTCCAGCCACATAATTAAAAAAAAATCATTCCTACTTCTCAGATTTCCTTGGATTTATGAGAAGACTATAATTCATAGTCCTGGCTAATAAGAAGTAGGCAGAAGTCATCAGTGTGGATTCTGGGAAAACTGTTAAAAAGGGGACAGTCTCCAATGGCTTTTTCTCTTCAAGGATTGCTCTTCTACATTGAGTACTATGAGGATAAAAACTACAGACCACTTGGGTATGGCTGAGAAACAGAGAGATGCTTCTGTTTGTAGTATTGTACCAGTCACTGGACTGCTTATATACAGACTTCTTGATACATAAAAAAAGCTTACCAGGCTGAGCACTTGTATTTCAGAATCATCAATGTATAGATGGCACTTAAAACCATTCAGTTAGATAATTTCATCTGAGGATTGGCAAGCCCTGGGACTGTGGCAGTTGGAGTCATATAGGAGGTAATGAATGAATTGAAAAGTAGTGGCCCATGAAATAGGAATAGAATTAAGACTGATGTCCATGAATCCAAGGAAGGAGCAGTGACTGATCGGCTCTACCAAATGCTGATTTGGGTGAGTTGAATGAGGTTGGGATTTAATCATAAAAGTTCCTGGGGACCTTTTTCAAAAGCTGGCTTTATAGAACAGGGTGTGCCAAGGTCGTCTTGGTATAGATTTCTGAGAAATTAGTATCTACTCTGTCCATCCTATTCTACCCTACACATTCTATCCTAAATATAGATACTTCTCTTATACCCTCAAAATCTATACCTTAATATTCTAGCTTTACATTGTGTTATTAGTTTACTACTGCTGCTCTAACAAACTACCAAACAATGTCAGAAGACAACTAAAATTTTACTACCGTAACAGTTTTGGAGTTCAGAACTCTGAAATGGGTTTCAGGGAACCAAAATCAAGATGTTAGTAGGACTGTATTCCTCCCCGGAGGCTGTAGGGGTGAATCTGTTCCTTTTTCCAGTTTCTAGATGCCCTTCTGCTTTCCTTTTTTCCTGGATCTTTTTTCCTTCTTAAAGGCCAGCAATGTCAGTCCTCATACTACCATCTCTTTGGCTCTTCTGCTTTATCTCCTCCTATTACTTTTTTTTTTTTTTAAGATTTTATTTATTTATTTGAGAGAGAGCACAGAGGGAGAATGAGCGGGAGAAGCAGACTCCCTGCTGAGCAGAGAGCCCAATGCGGGGCTCCATCCCAAGACCCTGAGGTCATGAGCTGAAGGCAGATACTTAACTGACAGAACCACCAAGACCCCCACCTCCTTTTAAAAAAAAAAAAAAAGTGAACTAAAAAGAAATTTAAAAAAATAAATCAAATTCTTTTAAAAAAGTGAACTCTACTCCCCAATGTGGGGCTTGAACTCAAGACCCTAAGATCAAGAATTGTATGCTGTCCTGAGTCAGCCAGGTACCCCACCTCTACTACATTATTTTAATGCTGTTCTGTGATTTTTTTTCCATTCTGCTAAAAGAAATATTTGAGAGCATGAATGGAGGAGAGGCAGAAGGAGAGGAAGAGGGACAAGTAGACTTTCTACTGAGTGCAGAGCCCGACATGGAGCTTGGTCCCAGGACCTGAGGTCACGATCTGAGGTGAAGTCAGATGCTTAACTGACTGAGCCACCCAGTCGTCCCTTTTTTCCCCACCCTTAGATTTTATAATTCTAGCATACATACAGAAAATAGTGTGAAAGTGCCTATGTGTTGCTAATAAACTACAAACTAGTGTGTCCACAGGTATCCACCCTCCAGATAAAGAAATGGAAGGTTATCTTACTACCCATGAGAATCTCTTCCATCTTGCATCATCACCCTCCATCCAAGAGGAAAAACCATTGTGTTTGGACATAAGCTTAACTACTGTACTAACCATGCTTTTAATTTTTTGTGTTTTATTATATTGCTTTAACATCTTTGGGTTCTTGCTGCTTGGAGAGACTGCCCCTCCCAGCACTAGGTTGTTGTTCTTGTTTTTGACCTAAATTATTTAATAGGTAAGAATTTTACAAACATTACTATATTAGCAGTAACAGTGGGGCTGGATAATACTCTCTGTGCTGCCTGGTGAGAACCACTAATAATGTGGTGGAACTTGTGACCCTTTCCAAGGCCACAGTTCTTGGTAGCCTGCACAAGTCAGCCTTTCCATTTCCCTGTGCTTGTGGACTGGTTTAGTGATCCACTGGGTCTCAGGATTTCTTCTGATAGCTTTATGGAATGGATCAATGAGGATAACCTCAAAGAATTTGCATGTACAATCTTCACCAACCCAATAAAAATTCAAGACTCTCCGAGCCCCAGTGGCATCCAGCTTGTTCCTCTACAACAGACTGAAGATGTTGGGTAAACTTTAGCTGGTTAACGCCATGATGGACAGGCTTGCCATAGGCTGCTCCTTTGGTACCTGGGTATCTGCAGCCACTACACCACGTACACGAAGCCGATATATGACATAAACTTGCTTGGTCTTGTACCCCAGTCTGTATGCTTTATGGGGCTGGGTTGGGTGGAGGGCCCTGTGAAGTGCACAGAGCTGGGGGTACTGCCAGCAGCTCACCGTGAGAAGAAGGAGCATTATTACATTGGACTGCTT